GCTTTGGTGAGGCCGATGATACCTTCCTGGGGAAAGGAATCACTAAAGAGAGTGAGGTTCCAAAGATTGACAAATGGGAAATCGAGGCGCATAGGTACGGCAAGCACGTTGGATTGCATCTGGACGGAGAAGGCTGCAATAAGAACTAACACGAGAGGGTACTCATTCTTGAAAAAGACATGATGACGTTCCACTATAAATGCGAATGAAAGTGGAGAGCCATCCTCTTTCTAATTTTTTAATTCAAAATTTACTTAATTAGATTATAGGGAAAATAAAAAATAAAGAACTCCAGATATTATAAATAATTAATTAGGACCATGAAATTATAAAGTTAAATTTCAAGACCAAGATCCTTTTTTTTTAATTTTAAAAATAATACTTTGATAAAAATGTCCTGTCTGAATTATCAACTTAAAATTATTCTCACCTTAATTAGGTTGGAAATTTAGTTGAAAAAGGTTGTGAAATCACTTTGTTTTTACTCTAATCTCTTAAACTTGTAATTGACTAACTTAAAATTTAATAGTAGTGAAATCCACTTCAATTGGATTGGAAATTAATTGAAGGGACATGTGAAACCACTTTATTTGAGTTGGAAATGCTTTTTACTCCCAGATTCTTAATTGACAACTTAAAATTTGCTATTGCTGAAATAACTTTAATTGGATTGGAAATTTAGTTGACGGGGTTATGAAGTCACTATATTTGAGTCAGAAACGTTTTTACTCCTAGATTTATAATTGACAATTTAAAATTCTCTAGTGCTGAAATCACTTAATTGGATTGAAAATTTGTTGTTGAAGGTAATGAGTTCACTTTATTTGAGTTGGAAAATTATTTACTCCCAAACTTGCAGATTTGGTAACTAGATTTGCAATTGGCTAATTTAAATTTCACCAGTGAAATCATTTTAATTGAATTGAATGGAGTTACAAAATCACTTTATTTGAGTTAAAAAATTGTTTTATTCCTATACTTACAAACCTGGTCTCATGCCAGAAGCATTTTAGTCAAAATATTATTTTTAAAATGACAAAAAAGGACCATGGTGTTGCAATTCAATTCCATAATTTCATCGTCTTGATTTCTTTTTTGCAATTTATAGAGGTCCTTATCTGTGATTTTTTCTAAATTATATGTTCTCAATAATTTTTATAAATATAAAATTTTCATAAATGAAGCAACAAAATGTAAACATTTTATTAAATCAATTTTTTTCCCCAAAAGTATTAAGTTAAATTTCATATAAACTTAAAAAATACTTTTTTTTGGAAAAATTGATTATTCATTCATAATTTTAACCTTCAAAAATTAATATATATGTACATATATAATAGATCAAATTATAAAGGTTCAGTGAGAATAAAATAAATTATACAAACCTAATTTAAAATTAAAAAAATTATAAAGACCTTGTATTAATTTTAAAAAAATCCAAAAAAATTATTAGAAGGAAGGTGTGCTATCGCCAAGGGGTGTTTACGTCTGTCCCTGTTTTGATTGATCCAATTCTGTCTCAATCACGTTGAAACGAGTCTATTTTATCTCCAAAAAATATGGGATGAGATGAAAATAAGTTCAAGATGTATGGGACAAAGGATCATCACGGGGACATCCTGCCACAAATATATTATTAAATTTTTTGTCTTCTTTTATTAACATTTAATACTTTATTTATTAAATCAGAGTATATATTTTTTTGTTTTGTTATTTTATTTTCTTTTTATATAATCATATGTTCACTTAAGCTGTGTAACTTAATCATTTTGTTTTTGTTGTGCTTATAGCTTGGATGTCATTTGTAGTTATTGTGCACTTAATTTTAAGTTGTAGTTGTCATGATTGTGTTCTTTCATTTTAAATTGTAGTTTTTGCAACCTAATGATTAAATTTATATATTCATGTTGTTTTAGTTTTAGACTTGTCATGTTATGTAATTTTATAAATATTGTTATGCATATTTCTCTTCTATGTGGTGCCTACTTTTTTGAGACATTTTGGTCTTGTCTTGTTCCGATCTTGAACGGGCTATGATGACTTTCAAGACGACATGAGACACGTGACAAATATTTAATCTCGTTCACTTTTTGAATGGGACACAAGATAAAGTTGACCTGATTTTGTTTCATTTCATAAACACCCCTATCATGAATGTATATAAATAAGATTGTTATTATTGTAGGCAAATAAATAGGAAAATAGGTAGATGGGCAGCTAAAGTTGGAAAATGGGTAAGCCTAGGCCCTTAACAAAGGTCGATTTTTTAAAATTCCTCTAAATCCTAAAGGCTAGCCCTTATGTAAAGGGCTTAGGATGAGGCCGTAAACCCAATTATAAAAAATAAAAGAATTAATATTATAAACTAATTAGATTATTTTAAAATTAAAAATAAAATAAATCAATGGAATTACTTTGGTTGGCCAAAAAAATAATTACTCTAGTTAAACCTAGTGAGAATTAGAGTACCCAACTAAGACAATCAAATATTAAAGTATCGGTCAACTAGCACCCACGACAAATAATAGCTAAGTGGAAAGCTGATCGTGAACGCTGTGAAAGGCAAGAGGGAGAGCAGGTGTGATAGGCGTGGGGGGCAATAGGGCTTGCAGATGAGGGAGGGAGAGCTGAGTAACTTTGAGTGAGGCAGAGATCATCAGCAATGAGGCAGAGATGACCAACGGCTGATGGGAGATCAGAGATGCTGAGTGAGGTAGAGATGAGCAACGGTCGATAGGAGAGCAAATGAGTAAATGTAAAATCTTCAATTTTTCAGGTTAAGAGAGCGAGAGTTCCATAAAAGAAAGAAGGTCGAGAGAATGAGAGTCAAGAGATCAGGAATCAAAGAAACTTAAGCCTTATATTTTTCCTCCAAACATCATTTTTACATAGATTGAAAAAAAAAAGATAATTAAGCTTGGCTCGAGCTTGGGCTTGTTTTTTTAGGGCTTATTAGGGATGGGAATAGAAGTCCGATTACCTTAAAAACTTTTATTTTTAAGTCCAAACTCTTATTTAAATAGGGCCTTCAAGCTTGGGCCTTATTTCCAACTTTATGGGTAACTAGTTGTTGTGGTGAAGATGGAGTAGAATGTAGATATATAATAATAATTTATAATAATAACACAGGGTTTAAAATGGATAAAGAATTGGGTGAAACAAAATGAGTGTGAACGAAAATAAACAAATGAAAAGAGTGCAAATATCTATTTACACAGATTTAGAATACATTTTTTGACCAAAAAATTCTTATAATATCATGTATCATGTTAATGGTTATAAACTTAGTGCTCATATTTAGTGATTGATTGTGCCACGAATAGAATTGTCTTTAATAAGAGGATACCTGTGATCAATCAAAAAATGATAATAAAAAATAAAATTATTATAAATTTTAACTTTAAAGTTTAAAGCATTGAAATTCAAAATATCATGTGGATTTAAAAGTGTTCATAACTTTTATTGAAATAACAAGTATTTGCAAGGTATAGGCTTATGGTGCAAGATTACAAGTTTTAAATGTAAGGTGAAAGGCTTGGGGTGTAAGGTGTGTTTGATTTGTAAAGCGATAGACTTGGAGCCCAAGAGGCAAGATGATAAGTTTGAGGTGTAAGGTTATAGGCTTGATGTGCAAGAAGACTTGGTATGTATTTGGTTTTTAAATTAGTTTTGGTCCCTTGAAACAATTTCTTTCTCAAGGAGGGATTTTGTGACAATTCTCCCAATTTTTAATAAGAATTTTATTCAAAAACAGAAGTTTAAATTGATTAAAATTCTTCAATATAAAGTAATTGTTTAGCCATATCTAAGGGAAGAGCAAGTATATATAATATAGGAAAAGTATATCTACAAATCCTCATTTTCTTTAATTTTAAATTAGGTTTTTATAGTTTATTTTGTTCTAGTTGGTCCCTTATGGTTTGATTTGATATATATTTGAATCCCTAAATGTTAAAATTCCTGAATTTTTCCTTAAAAAAATTAAGAACTTTCATTATCTTTATTAAGAAATTATATAACTTTACAATTAATTATATAGTTTTTATAACACCAAATTTATATAATTAGGTTGTCTTTTATACAATTTGTATACATATAGAATTTTCATAAAAAACAATAAAAATATAAGGATTGTATTAAATTAATTTTTTGGGTCAAAATTATTAAATCAATTTTTTTATAAACTCCAAAAATGTTTTTATTTTGAGAAATTTAATAATTTGTTAATAATTTTAACTTTTAAGGATTAACTTATTTAATTGATCAAACTATAAAGACTCAATTAAAACAAAATAAACTACAAGTGCCTAATTCAAAATTTAATAATATATGAGGATTCATAGATATATTTTTCCTATAATATATAATTAGTTAGAAGAATAAGCTAAAAATGGATATACTTCTTCAATTCTATTTATAAGTTATATTCCCTCTGTTTAAAAATATAAGGCATTTTTTGAGAAGTTGGATATTAAAAATGTAAGGTGTTTTTAATCTTTTGAGGTGTAATCATTATTTTTTTTTTAAAAGTGCCCCTATTGATAATGACTTTATATTTATTATAGGGTGTTTAATAGGAATAAATATGAAAAGATAGGATTAATTAAAAAGTAAGTAATTAATTTATTAGGGGTGAGATTTAGTTAAAAATACTTTATATTTTTAAATGAAGAAAGTAATCATTAAATTTTTATTATAAATTTTTACTTTTATCCTTTATTAAATATTAAAGAAATAAAATACTCTCCTTGTCTATAGATATAAAGTATTTTTTAAGCGACATAAATTTATTATTTACTTAAAATTATATTAAATAATAATATTTTTTAATTTTTTAAATAATATTAATTAATATTATAATGGTGGTAAGTAAAAGATCCAGACATTAATATTTTTTTTTTATTTTTTAAGACAAGAGCCAAATTGCATTACATTTTAAGCATAAAATGAGTTTCTATGAAACTACTTGAACACGATATCATCGTCTACTGGTTTTTTAGATTTTGAGCCGGGGATGCGTCCATCCTGGGGCGTTGAACGGACGCCGAAGACCCAACTACAAAAGGAGGTGTTTTAACATCGAGGAAGCTGTCTATGCATTTGTTCTTCCTTACTCTCAAACAATTACCACTTGCTTCTGGTTCGTGCTCTTTCACTTTCCCAATGGGTATTAACTTTTTTTCAGTTTTGGGTTTATCTCGTCTTGGTTATTGTTGATGTTGAGATTCTTTGATTATTAGAATTTAGGTCTTAGGAAAGAAAAACTGGTCCTGCTTTACATTAAAAGTAGTAATTTTCTTATTCAATTTTCCCAATTGATGAGGAAACGCATTTTGTTTAGTCAGTTATCAAATGGTTATTTGATTCAGAAAGGGAAGCGTGTTGGTGTTGATAGTTGTAAGTTGAGCTTGAAATTCCATGTTTAATTTATTAAAAAAAATGTTTTGTTTTGCTCAATTGGTATGATTTAAGCTTCACAGTCAGAGTAAAATCATGGCCAAATATGGATGAGTGCACATAGGGAAGGAATTTGGCTGAGTAACCATGATAACAATAAAATGCTTGATTGATTAAGAGACTAAACCGTTTAGTAACGACACAGATAATTGTAATTAGAGATAGCATTTTATATCTTAGCATTGCTGGTTTCTTATGTCTTCAGGGGTCATGGATGTCCTGTTGCCGTTTGATAAGCTGGCTCTAAAACTAGCTGATGAAAAGCCTCCGCATGGAGCCATGAGCACGTAAGGTTTTCTTGTCCTCTACCATTTTTTTGGGCTTTTCCTTTTCCTGTCCCTCTCTTAATCTTTTGCATTTATATCTTGCTATATTCACATGTGAACAATTCAGTGGCAAGACATATGTTGTTCTGGTAGCAGCTGGAAGTTTCAATCCTCCCACTTTCATGCATTTACGCATGTTTGGTGAGTTGCTTGAAGAGCTCTTGTACTTTTGTTTATTTCCATTTGCTGAAGTTCAGAGTTGTGTCTTTCCAAATTTATAGCTTGCTTGGTGTTCTTAAAGACCCAATTTAAATTTACACCATAAAAAAGACCCAATATATATACTATCCGACTCCACACACAATGTTAGTCAAGCAAAAAGCTTCCCTTTCAGGCCCCTTTCCTTTGCTGATTTGAAGCTTCCTATCATGATTGATGGTGTAAGATACAATTTTTTTCAATATAGAAGCATGGGCATAAACATAAAAGTTCAAATATCATTATTTAGAGCTATTGATTGTAAGTATAGTAGCAAGATGCACAGTATCATCATTATTTAGAGGGGTTGGGACTGTAGACGACTGTGGAAATGGATCGCCCTGCAAGAAGAATGGAGAATATCACCGGAATAAAATACAATTCCTTTGGCATTTATTGTTAAAGCATTCGTTAAGCAGTAATTGAATATGTTTCATGTACAGCTGTTATGCTGTATGCACATATTGCATACCAGAGTTGATGTTCTATCTATCATATAAATGAAATAATTGCTACTGAAATTCTAATATTTCATATGAGTTGGATTTGCGCAAGAAGCAATTTTAAAGTATGGTGTCTTCCTGCATTCTTACTTCCTTAAATTATTATTTTCAGACAACAGTTACTTCCCTAAAGTATAATATCATAGTTTCTATTCTCTGAAAACAAAGAAGGGAGAGAGGGATTCTTCATTTCTAATTTCTCTTGGCAAATGGATGTATTATGTTGGTCACAAGTTTTTCGTTAGACAATCCACTTACTGTTTCTAGAGGTACAAAATCTTGGCAAAGTAAAATCTTCACATATCTTTCAGTTATTAGCTCTGATTTATTGACATAATTCCTTTAATTGGTGTATTTTAATTGTTAAATATCATTTGTTTTCTGCTTTCTTTTTAAAATATTTTCTCAGAGCTTGCAAGGGATGCATTGAATTCAGAAGGCTACTGTGTTATTGGCGGTTATATGTCACCTGTTAATGATGCATACAAAAAAAGGGTAACGTTAGTGAACATTTTTGAGCATCCTGCAAAACTGTAATGGGATAATTCATTAGGGGCCCTTCTTAGCTTTAATTACTATTTCATGGAATTACGCCCATTCTCCGTTACTATCTGCAAGGTAGCTCTGCTTTAGCTCATTAACATTGAGATGCTCAAGTATATTCATATGTACATGTTTGCAAGTTTAAATTAGCACACTAAAGGATTGATGAAGGAGAATGAAATATAGACACTTTGCATGTAATTGTGAAGTCATTATGAGAATCAATGAGCAGTCTTTTAAAGATTTGAGACTGAGCTTACTACACATTTTTAATTTTCCTGCACTTATAGTTGGAGATGTATCCTAAGAACTGCTATCTTAATAATCTTTTACCTATATTTCTACATTCTCCTTCTTTCATGGCTGTAAATCGATCTCATTGCTTGTCACTTGAAATATTGGTAAAGGGGCTTGTTTCTGCTGAACATCGCGTACGCTTATGTCAGCTAGCCTGCAAAAGTTCAGAATTTATAATGGTTGATCCATGGGAAGTATGTTACTCTCTTCCTCCAACTCTAGATGTGTCTGTGTCCAAGCAATTAACTTTCATCTTGCAAAAATTCAAAGTTAAGAGATAATCCTATGGATTTTTTATGTTTAAATAGACCATGAATAGGGTGAGAAAAACAAAGTGTTACTTGATCTTGTTCGGTCACGCTTTGCATTTTATGTGGCTAAGGCTTTTAGAACTTTCTTGCAGGCAACTCAAAGTTCATATCAGCGTACTTTAACTGTTTTATCTAGAGTCCGGAATTGTATTTCTGAGGCAGGGCTGGTACCCAGAGGTGAGTTCTACAAACAATTCTTCAAAAAAAGCTATAGTCTTACAATATCAACCTTTTTTCCCTCTCGAGTTGAAATAAAAAACAATCCTATGTTTCCTTTTTGTTGAAAGTTGAAACTTTAATCAAGCGTACTAATGCTTACTGGCGACGAACATTTATAATAAGTGATATTCTTTCTATGTTTTAAATAATCCATTAAAATATCAAATTTCATTCATGCCAAGTGGCTATGTTGTAGGCCAACATATTCGGTTCAGTATTATACTCAAGCTTTCAAAAGAATCAAAACTGAGATATACATTTTTTGTTCATAAGTCTAGATTTAGACTAAAGTATGCTTTTAAAAGTTGACATATTTTTGGGTCTAAACCTAGGTTGCTTTCAATGTGTGTTTCTGTTGATGATGTAGAAAGAAATACTAAAATTTGCTTTTGAATTGTATGGTATAGAATCCCTCAAGGTCATGCTCATCTGTGGTTCTGATCTCCTTCACTCCTTTGGCATTCCTGGAGTATGGATTCCTGAGCAGGTATTTTTTTTTTAAAAAAGAAAAAGGTCAGTACAAGAGAAAAATCTACGGGAGAATGACAAAAAATGCCCCTCGAGTATGCAAATGACAATTAAGTACCATAAAATGTTATAATTATTATTTAGTCCCTAGAAACTTGTTTGACATTTTGATTTTTGATGAAATGACATTTATTTACTCCTAGTGATGACTATTATAAGAAATGACTACTTTGGTTGGGTTACTGACTAAAACGAAATAAAGAATGACTACTTTCTTTCAGCTTATTTGTTCATTAATCTTGTGCAACCAAAGTAGTTATTTTCAAAAAGAAATCATTATTTTTTAATTTGTTTATAAATCACAAATTTGCAAAGCAGAAGTAGTCATTTTCTATTCTGTTTTAGTCGATAACACAATCAAAGTGATCATTTCCTATAATAGTCACTGAGGCAAATATATTATTTTGTCAAAAGTCAAAATGCCAAGCAAGCCCCGAGGAATTAAATGATAATTCATTTGGATATTTGAGGGATATATATATATATATATATATTTTTTTTTGGGTCATTCTCCCAAAATCTAATAGCATTGACAGTAAACTAGCTAAAACAATAGTCGTTACTCGTTATTGTAACTATAATGGAAATAATGTTATTGGTAAGCCGTAGGAATCAGATTGATTCTGTGATGTTTATACTTAAGACTGATAAGCTTATTAAGTTAATGAGTTTTACTTGTTACAGATATCAAGTGATAATGGGCGTAACGCTTACCAATACAATAGTGATTTTGACCTTCTGATTATTGATTAGGTTAAGGACATATGCAAAGATTATGGAGTAGTTTGCATCCTTAGAGAAGGACAGGATGTTGAGAGGACTATCTCTGATAATGACATTTTGAATGAAAATCGGGTAATAATGCTTCCTAATCTCCTCCTAGTGTACGAGAAATGAACAGAAACACACAAAACCAAGAAAAGAAAGAAATAAACATGAGTAGGAGTGAATAAAAAGAGCCATAGCCATGTGATGACAAAAAATTATGGTTAGTTGAGGAAGTTTTTGAAAAACCAGCAAGGTAAAGTTGAATTCGGCACATCGTATTTTATTATAGATTATGATAACGAAAAACTTGAATTAATTTTTTTTTTTAAATATCCAAGTCTTGTCTTATAACCAATGATTTTACTGGTTTGATTTTATGAATATACTCCTCTAGTCCTATTTATCTATTTATAGGGTAGAGAGTGTGTGTTTGTTTTGATCTTATTTATAAGACACCTCAATGATTATTATGTTCATCTTCACTATTTTATTCCTACTAAATGTTGGGAAGTTTATTAAATGCTAGAGTATTTCATTTTAAAGTAAGTATATTTAATAGGGATAAAATTGAAAACTTATTGAATTTTCAGATAAAGTTAATGAGATTTAAGGGCTTTCTTAGTTTCAATGAAAATGTTGAAAATGATTTATAAATAGGATTAAAGAGAGTGTGTGTGTGTGTGTATATATATATTAACTATTACAATTATAGCAGGCTAATGTCAAAGTAGTGGATGAAATTGTACCAAATCAAATAAGCTCAACCAGGCTAAGGTGACTCTCCCTCGAGTTGTGCAAAATGATTTAACCATTGGGAGGCTTTTCATTTATTTCTTGTGAAAACTATTCTTGAAATTCAGGGAATGCATTGCAAGAAGATTGTCAGTAAAATACCTTACTCTGGATGAAGTGATCGATTATATCAGAGAGCATCAACTATATTTGAACTCAGACGGAAACTAACAATTGTAATGCATCGTATAGTGCATACTATTTATAATTTTTTTATCATTTTTTTCCTTTAATAAAAGCATACTTCCTTCGTCCTTATATATAAAATATTTTTAACCAAATCATGCAAATTAATAAAAGTTGGTTATTTAATTAAAAGCACAACAACACTCTAATTTTGCCTCTAATTGTCAATAAAAAATAAATTTTTTTAAAGTAAATTAATGAAAGTATTTATTTTTTTCTCTTTTCAATTTAATAAGAGTATGATGGTTCTTTCATTAAAAAATATATTGATAACTTCTTATATTTAAAAATGAAAAAAAATTTAAAAGGTCTTTTTATGTATAGGGACGGGGGGAGTAGGTGGCACAACAATTAGAAGTTTTGAGGGTGAATAAAAGAAGGCCAGAAATTCTGTTGGGGAGCAGGGAGATGGAATAAGATATAAAGTCACCAACAAGCCCTTGGTTCATTCAATGTCAAGGAAATTGTACCTGTTAAATTAAAATCTCAAATTCAAAATTTAGGAATGCAAGAGTTTTTGGTGATAGAATTTCTGCTCAAGAGGGTTCTAAGTTCTAAATTTGCTCGACCCGCATTAGTTGGAACAGTTGGTTTTTGAATACAAGATGTTTTGCTAAAAAAAGGGGAGAATAACATATAAAGTCATGCACCGTATCTCTCATGGCAATTAAGCTCAAAGGAGAGATCACTTGAACTACACAAATGAGTAATAGTACTATCTAATATCCTATGAAATTTGGTAGGATATACATCTTGTCCTATAAGTCTTATTCAAGTGTTCATATTGCTCCTAAAGATATTGGTTTGATGATTGTTATCATCTTTAATGTTAAAAAAGAAGTGATACTCTCTCCTAAACTTAAACGTAGAAATTAGATAACTAGTTTATAAAAATTAAAAAAATTAGTTATTTGTAAAAATGTGTTATGGTTTTCTTAAACTACCTTTTTAATTATTTGCATTGGAAACTAATCGATGAAAACCCCTTATTAATATATGTAATTAATATAGATGGTATGAGAACAATTATAAATTTAAGGGACAAAGTGAGTTGAAGTTTTTTCTTTAAAAACAAAGCAAATATCTTGGTGAGTTCCTTTATTTAGGGTGGGAAGGAGTATTATTTTTCATCCTTGAGTTTGTTGCAGAAAACGATGAACCAACAGGTGGTGGAACTTTTAGAATATGGAAAAGCTTTATATAAAATTTCTCTTCGTGTGTAGTTGATGATGTATACCTTCACATTCATTATTTGTTCAATTATTGTTTTTCACTTAAATTTTGATATGGAAGTTGGGAAAATTATGCTTGTAATTATTTTAAAAATATAAAATATATTTATGTAATTAATTTAATGGGTTTTTACATATAGAGATTTTTTATGGTACATTAAAGAACGTATAAACATTGATTTTTGACATATACCAAACTAACACACCCCTAAAATCTCTTTTTAATTGTCGGGACGTATGAGCAATAAAAAAATATGAATGATATAAATGTGAATACATACTCTTTTCATTGAAAAATATAAGATATTTTTAATAAAATTTTACCATTTAATAAAATAATTATCTACTTTTAAATTAATTTTATTTTTTTATATTTATCCTTATTAAACATCTTATAATAAATATAAAGTCACTATTAATAGGGACATTTTTGAAAAAAAAAAGTAATGATTATATCTTAAAAGATTAAAAATGCCTTACATTTTTAAACATTTAACTCCTTAAAAAATGCATTACATTTTTGAACAAAGGGAGTGTATACATTTTTAAAAGGAGGAAGGCCCTTCGTTAAAAAATATAAGACATTTTTTGAGGAGTTAAATGTTAAAAAATGTAAGGCATTTCAATCTTTTGATATGTAGTCATTGTCTTTTTTTCAAAAGTGCCTCTGTTGATAGTGACTTTATATTTATTATAGGGTGTTTAATAGGAGTAAATATAGAAAGATATGGTTAGTTTGGAAGTAAGTAATTATTTTATTGGGGGGTGAGATTTGATTAAAAATATCTTATATTTTTTAATAGAGAGAGTATATTTCACCCAAGTCACTAAGATGGTGTGAATTGTTTGATAGAAAATTGTTTAACAATGAAAAAAAAAACTAAATACTCCTTTGGTTAAAAAATATAAAATATTTTTAATTGAATTTTATCTCCCAATAAAATAATTATTTATTTTTAAACTAACACTATCTTTTTATATTAACTCTTATTTAATAAAATTTTTCAATCTAAAACAAATATAAAATGATTAATTTATAAGGGTGCTTTTGAAAAAAGTATAATAATTACACTTTGAGACTTTAAAAATATTTTATATTTTTTAACATTTAATTTTTTAAAAAATATTTTATATTTTTAAACTGAGAAAGTAGTTTTTATTCTTTCTAGCTAATCCAATTGCTTTAATCCCCTTGAGATTAAAATGAGCAAAATTCTTGTCGGAAGATTAGCAATCGGTTGAGACAAATTAAGAAATATCTCTCTTTCTTGGAGAAAAATAAAAATAATTAGAATTAATATATATATATATATATATATATAATAACGTTTAACAAAAACAGGAGTATATAAAATTAAAGTAAAAATTTTTTGATCGAACAAAATTTTAGGAACAAAAAGTAAATAAAACAAAAAATATCATAAATAAAAAAAGTAGACCCGAAGAATAATTTTAGAAGAAAAAAGAAGTAAATAAAAAAAGAAGATAAATTCATATATTATATGACCGCTCATGAATCCCTATTTAAGACAGCCTTTCTTTACAAGCTTTCACAATCTAATTTAAAAAAGAAAAAGGAAAAAAAAAAAGAAAAGCAACATCCCAAGATGCATATTTAGATATTACTACTAATTTTTTTATGATTTTTTTTGTTTAATATTTAAAAAGCGGCATTCTTGTTTAAGAGTCATGCATGCGCCTCCTCCTCTGCATCAGAAACGGTCATGTCTCTGGTGAGCATACGGATCATAATACGCCGGGCCGCCGGTGCCACTACTTGAGCTACCAGCTCCCGGCCCCATCTGACTCGGTCCCACCGGATAACCCGATCCGTAATAGTATGACGGTGGTGGAGGTGGCGGCATTGCTGGTGCAAGCTCGGGAGCCAGCACTTGCTGTCCCCGGGGGACATAATGGCTGCTACCTGCACCGTCACCGTTACGGTAGCGGTGAAGGTAGACGGAGAGAGGCCCGACGTAGTCGTCGAATCCCAGCTTTTCCATGGCCCAGAGTACGTCATCCGCCGTCACCGTCTTGCGCTGCTCCTGCCGGCACCGCTGGTTAGCCTCGCTGGTGATGAAGCTGATGTACTCAGAGACACACTCCTGTACCGTCTCTTTGGCTTCGTCGGAGATCTTGGCGTGCGGCGGAAGGATCCGGCGCATGATTCGGATGACGTTCGCGATCGGCATGTACTGATCCTGTTCTCTCATCATCCCACGCTGTGCAGGCTCCTGCTGGTTCTGGCTTGGGTTGACCGGAGCTCCGCCGTGTCCGGCAGTGTTCTGTGTCCCCATGAGATTCGAACCTCAAACATAAAAAAAATTGTCTGTCAGATTGTTGCCAAACATAACTCGGTCCAAAGATACCAAAAAGGAAAAAAGAAGTGTTTTTGAATTTTCTTGGTAAAAAAAAATTAATATACACTTTTAATAATTAAATATTCTTTTGGGTCTGAATAATTAAATATTCTTTTGTCCTCCACTAGTTTTGATTTGGTGTTTAAATCATCCATTTCACCCCTGATTTGAATTACTATTTATTTTTATTACAATACACAATAACAGGCAAGAAAAATGTGAAAAATATAGTGGTAATAATAATAAACTATAAATAAAAATAAAACCAATCTTCTTCATTTCTCTCCCCCAATTGGTTTCAATGGAACAGTATATATATAAAATATTGTTTGATTGAGTAGGATCTAGACTGTGTCTGTAGGCCACTGCAATCGTTTTTAGGTAATCTCAAAGACAAGCCCTAAGTCAAAGGCTTTTCTATTCCCTTCAATTCAATTCAATTTCAATTTCAATTTCCAATTCCTTCTCATTTATGACTTCCCTCATCATCTCTCTCTCCCTTCCTTCTTTTAATTAATGACACACAACACTTTCATATATATATATATATATATATATATTTTTGTTTCTTTCCATAAACACGTATCCATCCTCCATCGTCCCCTCAGAAACACTGTAAACATTTCTGATCTATCACAGGTTAGTTCATGATCAGAGCAAAAGCACCAACAAGCGCATCATCATCATCATCATCAGCTGTTCCTGATGAACAATCACTTTAAGGAGAAAATACAGATCAACACAGATAAGAAGATACGTGTGTCTGTGTGTGTGGTTAAAAGCATTTCACAGCGCGTGGTTCATGATTCCTTCATATCATCTGATAAACTTCTGCTGTCATGAACAGAATCTCAGATTCAAGAAAAGAAGCATGCACATCGCATATGGGAACCCACAAAAGATGTCTCAGATCTTTCTTGGTAGTTCATGAAAATTAAAGAAAACAAACAAACCCAAAAGCAATAGAGAGACACGAAATCTGTTTTAGTAAGAGTGAGAGAGAAACTAGCTAGCCAGGGCGTGTTTGGTCTCCAAACAAGAGAAAAGAAGAAATGGAAGAGGATTAATATAGGAATAGTATTACCAGAGCTTGCTGCAAGTTGGTGATGGTGGCGGCCAGAGGGAAAGAAGGGACCTGATCCTGAACCTTCCATGGCTGTTTTCTGATCAGTAAACAGAGAAAGAAGATAAGAGAATGAGAAGAGTGTGTATGGGAGCAGTACACTGTGTGGTTCTATTCCACAATGCGGCCTTTGTATTTATAGACTGAAAAAGGAAGAGGGTTAGATGAGGCTGCAATCAACAAAAATTATTTATTTTATGTTTTTTGATTTTCATTAATTCATGCTTTACTTAATTAATTAGTCCGTAATAAAACTTGCTTAATTTTCATAACATCAAATCCTTAATGTAGGAGTACATTTCTTTTCCCCTTTCATTTCTTTTTCTTGTTCCTTTCTTTTAATTTTTGAACTCTTCAATTGGTTTTCATAACCAAGAAGATACAACATCATAAGATTGTAATTATTAAAAATATTCAATATTTATGAACAATGAAACTAACAAAAAAAAAAAAGTTTCTGTCACTTGAATAGGATTATGTAATTGTGATTATTATTTAAATTATGATTAATGAAATGAATATAATTAAATTACGTCTTTGGATTTCGTTCCGGAAGAATTAATAATAATAATAATAATAATAATAGTTTTGATTATAGTAAACTAATTTTAAAGTTGACCGTCAAAATTATTTTGACATCTCATTGGAAAATACTCTTTAGAATTTAATATGACAATGCTTCATAAACTATTTTACTAGGTAAATTAGTCACCTTTTTTATCTTTGTTAAACAAATTTAGTGATAAAATGGGATACATGAATTTTTATTAGCAATTGAAGATAATGTACATTTAGACAATTGATTTTCCACTGAATTAGCACTACTTTCAATTAGAATGATAAATTTATTATATGGAAAACATAAGTGTTTTAATTTGTCACTTCGATGTTGTCTCCTTTAATTTGTATATATGTTGTTGTTGCTGGGGACATACATTCACTTCCATTTGCATGCAAGTTTGGATCAACCTTCAAAACCAATCCCTTTTTTTTTTTTGGGCTAATCTGGTTTTTAAGCCATGAATTCAAGCTACGTGCTGTTATATATGATCCCCAATTATTTATGACCTTAAATTTCAAAAGGGAGGGTGGGATATGTAAAGTTTTCATATCCACCCCTCCGCTTTCTTCATGTGTCTATCTCTCCCCGTGCTGAATGATTGATATCACGACAAATATTTGCTTTATGGAAACATGATCTAGAAAAATTTTAATTTTTGTCCGCATTATTTTGAAATATTGCATTATTTCAAAAAGAAAATATTTCAAAATAATGTTGAGAGAGTGAAATAAATAGAATTTATTTTTAAAAGGAATGAAGAGAAACAATGTGTTACTTCCATTCTCACAAAATGCCTAGGTAACATGAAATGTTTAATAGGTCTTTTTTATAACATGTGATATTGAATGGTTAGCTAGTAAGTGCATTAGTTTTAGTTCCCATTTCAAGTCACCTAATGATCACATTGCTCATTTAAGTATCGATTAATTACAAGCACCGAAGGGTGTATATATAAAATTCCAAAAAAAAATAAAATAAAACATTAATTTAAATTTAATCAATAGAATTAATGCATTTTAAGAAATTGAAATAAGCATTCACTATTAAGCAAGTATAATTCAATCTCTTAAGGTGAATGTTAATATCAAGAACAAGCCAACAACCACTCTTTTATACTGTGAATAATGTAATGTTTTATAAATTTTATTCTAGATGTGCAAAAGTATTTTAAAAAGGTTCAAAAGGAGGGGAAAAAAACAAAGAAAGACATGAATGATGGGCGTGTGTAGGACCCACAATATTGAGAGTAAGTTGTAGGGCCCACTTGTGTGGGATCTACATGATTGAGAGTCTTGATATCATATATGCACCTTGTATGAAAAATCATCTAACGCTTCTCATTTATAACATAACATATATTTTTTTAAATATTCTTAATCTTTACAGGTCATACTTGATATTCTTTTTCCATTAGTGTTTAGTGAAATATATTTAAAATTTCACAATTTTTTGAGAAATAAATAATTTTAAAAATATTAAATTACTTTCTTCACAACCATCAAAAACACAGATTTTGTTCCTCTTGGGATTGTTCTTCATGACATTGATCTTGTTATTATGAGAGGCTTCTAGTTTTCACAATAGTTTGACACATGATTAATAATATGTAGAATTCTACATTAATGTGAATTGGTTTTCTCTTTGGACCACATTATGCTAATTTATAGTTTCCAACATTCTTATTGTCACACACACACACACAATGCTTGAGAGTTCACCTACAATAGGACTCTTGGGGTCCCACACACTAAATAGAAGGGGAAAAAATGATGTTATCATATATATGTGAGTGATAAAATATAATTAAAGAATAAATTAATGAAGCATCATCTGTGGGGAATATAATAGAATGGCAGAAAAGAAGCGTCTTTTTCTTGGTGACACATGAAAGATGAGCCTTGGGATTTAAATTTATTTTCTTTTTTTCAGTTTTATTGTACATCATAAGCTTAAGTGGGGCCCTTCCTCTCATACTATATACTTCAGTGTTGTTCATGGCGTCTCAAGGGCAATTTCTAGTGTTATATATATATATATATGCAGCTTTTTTTAACGTTTTAAAGTGCTGTATTTTCATCATAAACAAAATATTCATATTTTCATAATTTCAGAGAACTATCTCGATATTTCAGTCATGGCATTTCTATAAGGATATATATGGGCTTTAATTAATTAAGAAAAAGAAATTATACCCAATATATAGGTAGTAGAAAACCGGAAGACGTATATTTACATTATCATCCAACAACCCAGTATATAAGATGAAGGAATTAAGTAACTTCATATAATTTCATTTCTTATATACATCAATAACAGCTAAATCTTTAAAAATAGTTAATTAAATTTAGAGATAATTAAAAATTGGACACATGGATTTTTATTAGTAATTAAAGATAATCAACAATTTAAGCAATTGATTTTCCACTGAAGCACTACTTAATTCAATTCGAAAGATGAATTATATATTATGGGGAAAAAGGAAAGCACTTCGAGGAGTGGTTTCTCTTTAATTAGTATGGTCAATTTACGAGTGATGAAATGGCAACACCAATATTTGTCCCCAAATTAAGTTTATAAATAAGGTAAGCATATATATAAATCTTTTAATTTGTCACTAATTAAATAGCATATCTTGTGCCTACGTTGTTGGAGACATTCTCTTCCATTTGAATGCAAGTTTGGATCAACCTTTGAACCAATCCCAATTGTTTTCCTTTCTTTTTTTTTAAATCTGGTTTTAAGCCATACATGCAGGCTACGTCTTTTGCTTGTGTCTTGCACGTGAGGAGCTTGAATATGTTATAACACACACACACACACACACACACACATCTACAATTATTTTAGAGGAGGTTGAAATGGAGGGAAAAAAAGATATGTATGAGTTGCATGTGTGGGACCCACAACACCAGGGATAGAGGTATGAACTACTTTTGTGGGATCCACATTATTGAAAATGTTGTTGTTGCTATCTAATGTAATTTCACATGAAACTTCATCCAATACTTCTTACTTAGAACGTAACGTATACTTTTTAAATGATTATAACTGAGAAAGCTTTCACATTTACAAGCCATACTTCGCATTTTTTTCCATTTACGTATGTTTACAAAATATTTTAAATTTTCAAATTTATCTTTTGGAGAAAGAATGAATAATTTGAAATATTAA